ACCAGGGCAGGGATTGTCCCCCTGTGCTGGGCACTGGTGAGGCCACACCTCGAGTGCTGTGTCCAGCTCTGGCCCTCACTGCAGGAAAGACACTGAGGAGCTGGAGTGAGCCCAGAGAAGGGCAATGGAGCTGGGAAAGGGTCTGGAGCACAAGTCCTGTGAGGAACAGCTGAGGGAGCTGGGGGTGTTTATCCTGGAGAAGAGGAGGATGACGGGAGACCTTATCACTCCCTGCTAGGACGCTGTGGTTGGATGGGGGTCAATCTCTTCTGCCATTCAAGCAGTGACAGGATGAGAGGACTTAAGTTCAACCTGCACCAGGAGAGGTTAAAACTGGACATCAGGAGATAGTTATTCACAGAAAGGATGTTTAGATATTGAAATAGGCTTGATGATCTCAGAAGTCTTTTTCAATCAAACTGATTCTGTGATACTGTGAACACTTTTTTACTAGATAACACATGATCACATTACCACTTTTTGTCCGCCACCTCTCTGATGTTCCATCTTTTACTCAAGGTTTGTTAATCCTAAATAATGTAGCAAATAACCAGGAGAGAATAGGTCCAGTTCAGTACTTACTAAAAGACTTATTACTAAAGGGTTTATTTTATATTCAATATGACTTTTTATTAGTTTCACACACCTAAATTGCAAACAATCTAAGAAGGTAAAAAAAAGGGAAAACAAATCCGTCACAAAGAATGCAGTAAGACTTAAACATTTCCCACATAATTAGTCAAAAATTCAGTGGCATTCAGTGGAAATTGTTAAGGAAGTCAGGTTTGCTAAAAATTGTCTACCAAATTCTAGAGTAACTTTTGATGTCAGGCAAATAAAAAGGAATAATTTATAGACTTTAATTAAAAAGAATCAAAACAATTATGAAATTTTCAAAATAGAAATGGTCAAAAATGTAAACAAAGGCACATTCTAAAGAAAAAAAGGCTTCTGTCTTTTCATTGGGTACTTTTAAATCCTATCTGATAAATATTTTAAAGATAAACACTATTTTTAAGAGTCCATGTGGTTATTGGAGCTGTATCAACGTTATCTATTTTGGCAATTGGAGTAGCACATCAGCTGCTCCAGAGACCCTGAAATTACACAGGTTGTGTTAGCAGGCTCCACTGTAGGACTTCACTTTAGATATCACAGGTGAATGGAACTCTTCTTCACTGGCTTCACTGCATCCCATTTATATGATTTCCCCATGGCAGGTTTAAGCTTTACTTACCTGAATAAAGAACTGGTAGAAATATGTGTGTACATTCTGTGCTGGGTAGAACACAGTTCAGTCAAAATAGCAAGAAACAGGTAAATGCATGCTGGTACATCCAGAGTAGGAAGTGGTGCTGTGCATCAAGACCAAGACTGGAGAGTTCCTGTATAGCACTTTGACATGATTGAACCAAAGTTGCAAAAAATGTTCAAAATGTGTGGTTTGCACCATAGTGTAGCAAAGTGCTGGTTTGTTCTCTGCTCTTTCCCTATATGATACCTAAGATGCCATTAGTGTATTTTTGAACTTTTCCAGTTTTATTTCACAACTGAATTATTAGTAATGTCTAAACTACATCCTCACAGCTAATTTTAACATTTCCTTTATAGATTTAGGGGTTTTTTTAGTAGCTTGTTCTTTTTCCTTCAGTGAAGCCCTTAATGTAACATTTTTTTGTTATAGACAATATATTTCTGCTAAAAACAATAACTAATATCTGTATCCCTTTCCTCTAGCATCTCCAGACAAATCAAAGAGTGACCTGGAGCCATTCATCTTGGCCTTCTTTGTGTAAATTAATCACTTTTCCAAGATTTCCTCCCAGAAACACATTAACAGATAACTAATTTTAGCATACCACAGAAACTCTAATTCTCTGGTCAGCCCTTGCAAATGAAAAAAAAATGGAGATACCCGCATATTTCTCCAAAAATGTTGGCATTAATTTGAGCATTTTTCATCACATTAAAAATCTAGAATAACATGAATAAATTGTAAAATTGATCATTAAGTATATGTTAATCAGAATATCTTTTAAAATCAAGATTTCTTCATCTTCACTCTGCAATTTCTACTATTTCTTGAAAATGCAAAACTATAGTGATCTTTTCATAGTGATCAAGCAACATGCTTCACACAGTCCTTACTGTGAAAAAGAAAGTTTGTTTGGCCCTTGATAACAAATTATAGTTTATTCTAATGTGAACACTGTATTTGCATAGAACCATGCAGGAAACTTTGCAAATTACCTCAGGCAGATACAGAGGTTCTGGCCAGTGTCCCTGTGACATGACAAGGTGCTATCAAACATCATTAAACAACAAACATGAGTACAGCAAAGGGTGTGTATCAGACCCCATTTTATAGTGCAGAGATAAGGAGCACCAACCAAACTGTTCTCTGAGTAATTTGATTATCGGCATAGGTGAACAATAATAAATAATAATTTCCCTGAATATGTTCAATATATGTATAAAATTTCTGAAGTGAATCAAAAAAGGTGAAATATTGTACAATATAAAAACTCTCCTATAAGAAAGTTTCATATCCTAAGGATATGTTTATAATAAGAATTATGTAACTGTATCAAAGGCATGGTTTCTTAGGAAATTGAGACATTAGTCTGCAGAGGTTATTTTAGGCAGAGGCAATTCTAGGTGTATTCCACTATTAACAAACCATTTTTCTCTATGCTGTGGATTTTTGTTTGTTATTTTTTATTGTCCTTTCATTAGTATTTATTAATTATGTTCTTATTCCTTGTGGAAGTATAGATTTTCTTTCTTATCCTGGAGCGGCACATACATTTATACACTCAGTGCAGATGGAAAGAAAAGCTCCCATGGCTGCTCTTCCCATCACAATTTTCCCACTGGTCACTGGACCAGTCTGGGTGCTGAAGCTGGTGTTACTGCTTCAATATCTGCGCTTCAGTGCTGCTTGATGTGTCTGCAGGTCTTCTGTGACACTGTGCAAGGGAAACAGAGTGCTCCCAGAGACTTGCGAGTCATCCCTGGTGATGACTGACCAAGGGCCTTGGAAAGGGCTTTGGAGCTCGGCAGCAACTGTGTCTTGGGCAGTGTGCACAGTGAGTCCATGTACAAGCTCTTGCATTAGGTTGGGTAACACTCCTTGTGTGTTCCATAAAGCAAATACATGAAAGAATCCAATGTAAGTTATATAAAGACAGGTCCCTGCTGCACTTCCATCAAGTGGATTTTAACATCCTCATGGAGATTTCTTTAATTGCATGATGTCCGTATAAAACTCTTGTCCAAAAAAACGTGCTGAACACCACCTGCTGACAAATGCTGACAAACATCTTCATTTTAATTCATAGCTCAGTTTCCAAAGCTTAAAAACAAGTAAGAGAATACATGTGCTCCTTAAATAATAGCTACAGTGTGTCATACCTAAATGGCCATGACATAGATGGCAAGGACGATGAAGGAAGGAAGCTTTTTTATTTCAGTTTTCCAGACCAACTGTCTTTTTCATTACACAACATTAATGCCAAGAAGTTAAAATTATTCAGCAGAATTCAATGCACAAAATGAAATACATTCCATATGAAAAGGTAATGCCATAAATTTTGCTATTTTCTGGAACTGTGGGATGGAGAAAATGCATATTTCTCAAATACTCTGCACATTCAGTATTCAAACAGTGCTGGCAAGGCTATGTAGACTGAAAACTACACAGCATCTTGCATAGGAACTTTTTCTGATTTCTCCGGAAGCCAACCTCCTCACCTCCCTGATTTTGCTGGCTTCGATTCTCTTTGTCTGCCTGGATATTGGCCTGGCATCTAAAGCAATGCAGGCAGTAATTTTGCCTAGGCAATACATCCTCACCATCATTGCCAAGTTTGAGATAGTTGTGTGGCAAGGCTTCTGGATTCTCTTTCACTCTTGCATAGCTGGGGGTATATTCTACAAAAATCTCATTTAAATAAGAAGACATAGACTCAGTGTCATCAAATATGCAATTTAATAAGAAAAAAGAGGCATCCCCAGCCCTCCAAACCGCTGTTGCTCAGGGTGCCCAGGGTGCTCAGGGTACCCAGGGCAGGGGTGGTGGGTGTCCCGATGCCGGAGCCCTCGTTCCAGCGCAGCTATGAGGCAGCACCAGGCGGGCCGAGCGCGGGGGCTCCTCCAGAGAGTAACACCGGGGGGCAGAGAGCGGGGCAGAGCCTGCAGGGTACAGCACCGCCGGCTGCGCCGCGGGCGCGGAGCGAGCGCCGGGAGACGGCAGGAGCGCCCTCCGGCCCCTCCGCGATCGTGGACCGCAGGGGGCGTGGAGGAGGAGGAGGAGGAGGAGGAGGAGGAGGAGGAGGAGGAGGGAAAGAAGGAGGAGGAGGAAGAGTATTTGGGGGCGGCTCGGAGCAGGTGGCGCTCAGTGTCGCCCTGGGAAGCGGCCAGCTCGGAGCGGCCTCGGCCCGACCTCGCAGCGCGCCGGACATGGGCTCCGCGGGCACCGCGCTGCCGCCTCTGCTCCTCGCGCTCGGTACGTCTGTCCGTCCCGCCGCTCCGGGAAGCAGGAAAGGAGGGAGGGAAGGAGGGAGGGAAGGAGGGAGGGATGGTCCCCCGGCGGGCGCGAGGTGCGGAGCGGGGCCGCCCTGGGGCCGGGCGGAGACGCGCGGAGGGCGCGCAGCTGCCGCTGGTGGGCTGCGGCTGCGGGCGAGTGAGATGCACCGGCGGCGATTTTAAAGCGGGTTGAACTCCTGGAGCGGCATAGATTTCACTTTCCCCTAAAGGGACTCCGTCTGTGTGTGCGCGCTGGAACGGAGGGAACGGGGACAATCTGATGTGTGAAATTAGAATTATATTATGATTATACCTTTCTAGGCGCGAAGATGAATGCTTTTTGTGAATGCTGCTCCTATTTGCAAGAGTCCTCTAGGTCTGTTACTATACTGTTGGGCAGATGTTGCTCCTTGGACAAGGATAGGGAAACTTGAACCATCTCCTCCTTCTCTTGGCTAACTTAATTACCATTACATCTATTTTCCTGGGAACTATAAGCAATCATATTCACTTGCCATGAGCAAATTCCCAGGCAGTTTTAGAGTTTTAATATTACTGTATACTCTCAAAAACCCTTAATTAGCAAGTCACCGAAGAGGCAGCATGAAAATGAGTTTTCACTGATGAGCTGTTGTAACTTGTTCTTTCAGTAACTATAGCGTACATTGCAGTGGAATGTGTGGCTGCAGGGTATGAAATAAAATACAAAAATATTAACCTGTGATGTGATATATAGAACAAAAACAACCTGGCAATTTTTTAAAAAAAGAAAAATTCTGAAAAGTAGCAGTAGGCAAAACATTCCACCCTGTACTTTTTCTTAATATATCCATTATTCTCCTGGTTACAGCTACTGAAAACCAGGACCATTAGCATTCACTGTAATTCCTGGAGTCTTAAGACTTACAAAGGCTGTTGAAAGCGGGCGATAAGGGCTGATTGTGAAAGAATTTCCCTGGCATTTTGAATGACAGAAGTGGGATAGGTCTACTTTTTTAGGCACTACCCATGATTTATCTCAATTTATACATCTGAAAGCTGTGAAAATTTTTATTTCAAATATGTCGTGACTCTTGATTAGTGGGTTAATACTTGCTAAGGCCTTTGATCTTGTTGGAATAGCAACAAAAAGAAAGTTTCAGGACAGGGGAGTTTTTTCTTAAGTGTTTTTGGAGTTCTGCTATGGTGATACACTTGTAGCTCTCCCACTATAATTTTGGAGTTGTTTGAATTCTAGTGAACTGTTTTTCTTTCAAAGGTGATGTTCTTAAATTTAATTAGGATAGCTTGGCTGAATTAGTCTTTACTTCCAGAAAATATTCCAAGTTATTCCAGACATAATTTTATGTCAGTATATTAACTACTGAATTATCAGCTGAATAAAATGGGTCACATGGGGTGCATTGCTGTGCAACAGTGAAGTAATGGGTTACTCTTTGCTGATGCGTAATTTAATGTCTGGAAAGTCATTAAGACTTTGTAGATGCTGTAAGAAGAAGACATCTGAAAGAGAATTATCAATATGATAGCATGACTTTGCTACCAACCTTGTTAATGTTGACCAAAATGTGTATAGCATAGAGGAATAGATTACATTAAGAGGAATAAATGATGTATTAACAGGGTCAACAAAGCTGGAAGCTTTTCTGTTGCTACATGCTGCCGATAGATTTGCCACATCCAGTTCTTTTAATTTACATTTTATGATTGCATTTTTTTTCCTAATGCTGTTCTTAAAATTCAGAGCCAAAACAGCCCAGCCCTCTCTGAGAGTGAAGCCAGCGGAAAATACAGTGTAGCTTTCCTGGGCTCAATTGTGGTAACATTTGCTTTGGAAAGCTCTAGTGCCCCCATGCTTCAGAGGAGATATTTGAAATTTGGCAGGAACTATTTGCATTGTCTACCTAAATCTGGCCAGGTAACAAGTCTATGCAAAACTGTATTCCTCTGGAAAGAAATGCATTTTTATCAGCTAGATTCTAAGTTATGTCCACCTTGTTGTGGACCTTAGTCAGATATTTCTGTGTGAGGTCTTAGATATATACCTGCAAATACAAAAAAATTCTCTCTTGACTTGTCAAGTTGTTATTTTTAAAGCAATATCCATCATTGTTTAAGCCAGTTTTGCTGGCTTCCAGTTTTTTTGCTGCTTTCCAGTTTGCTTCTGGATGGTGGTCTCCTGACTGTCTGTACTGCATGCTCTTAACTGTTTCCTGGGCTTCAGATGAACCAGCTTGTTCTCCTTTTTATAATAATAATTAACTTCAGAGTGAATTACCAAATGATAGTGTTGGAAGACCAAACCTAGAGAAGGAAGTAAAATGCAGGGTGACCTCGCCTATACTGTCTCAGCAAGCCTTCATATTGAAGCCTAACATGCACCTTCCTCCAGCAGCCCAGGGTGTGAATGATACAACTCTTACTGCATTCATAAAAGCTCCACTCTGTGAAGTAAGCATCCCTTGAACTCTTTAATTCTGAAATGAAAACTTGAAGCAACATGAGGGTTATGGCTTTCGGGCTACAGGTCTACCACATGAGTGCCATGGATTCTCACGTTTTTGTGGGACCCAGGCAAACTGAAGGAGAAAACAGGTCTACCTGAAACTGAGGTGTCTGTGTAGAATAGAGTTTCCAATGATAGAAACTCTTGTAAGTAATAGGCTGTAAGGCCCTATATAGGAATAGGAGACCCTACTTACAAACTATTTTCTTCAGTAAGCTTTTGTTTAAATTGGGATAGAAGCTGTGATAATGGCATTTAACATGCAAAAATTGGAAAGTGCCCAGAGTAAGTTAGCCACCTGAATTTGTCTCTTTTGCACATCAGTACATCATACTGTCACTGCCTATGAACAAAGAAAGATGTTGTGATCAGATAATCAGCTAGAACTCCTGCCTTGCTTAGTTTTGGAATTAGAAAGTGGTCTAATGAATGAGAATGAAATGTAGGATTAAGAGAAATAAATTTCTGTTTTCCTTACAAAAGTGGATTCTTTCTCACTCTCTCTCTTTTATTTCCCCCCCCTGCCCCCCCGCAAAAGCTGAGTACAATTTCAGACGAGTCATTTAAATCAAATCTTTGACATGTGGTTGGAGCTTTTGTGTTCTTCTCTTTCTCTTTGCTCAGCCAGGGGTTCTCAAAACTGAAGCTGCGTTTTCACGATCTGGTTAAGCTGACCTGAATGTGGAGCTGACGCTGCAAGGACATTTCGTCCACTCCTGTATGCATGTTTCCACCAGTTTCTCTGTGCTATCACTATGGCTTAGTCTCAGGAACAGGCCAGGGACTCATTTGCTTGAATAATTTTTTCCCCCTTTTGAGCTAGGTTAGTTTTGGAGATGAGCTAAACTGGTCCTGCTCACTTGAGCAATTTATTTGTTAGTGCTGGCATAGGGTACAGTCAGAACTCGTGGCCAGAGGATGGAAAGCTGGAAAAGTCTCTTTCACTAGTAGCTGTCACTTCCACTGGCTTGACCTGGTTGTGCAAGTGCATCTTGGTGTGCAAAAGTGCTCTGTAGTCACAGCTGCGACTGAAGTAAATGGAAATTGTATTTTAAATGTGAAAAAAATAAGGGTTTAGCTGTATCACTAGATATCCAAAAGTGGTAAGTACTTTTTTCTTTTTATGGAGATAAGGATGGTCTCTCATTTCACTTGAGTGTTGAAAAATAAATCCTCTGTCACATGCAAATACTTAAATGTTTATTTTCATTATATGTAGGCAATAATCAACAAGGAAGTTGCTAAGATTAAAATTACATACATAAAAGGACATGGCAATGTACAAAGCAGAATGGACTAAACTGATAACTGAATAGCAAATGGAAATGGAACATTTGGTGCTATAAATGAAGATAACATTGGGATGCTTTTAACATGCAATCATGCAGACCAAGTCAAATCTGTACAGCCTATTTTGATTTCTGCCTTTTTCCCTCTTTGTGATCATCTTTTGATACCTTGTTGTTTTATTATCATATTTGTGAGTAATGTTAATGTTAAAAATTATTCTAGAATCTGGAGATGGCATGAAAGGAGTACCTAAACATGAACTCTTCTTAAAGTAAACCTGTCTCTAGTTTTTCCTTCTTTCTGAGGTAGCAAGAAGTAGCAGCACTACTATGTATTATTTTTGGAGTGTTGCCTCTCACAGCATTGCAGATTGAAGTAAGGCTTCATTCATACTGTATTACAGGACTTGTATTTTGTATTATGTTTGTTTTAGAAAGCATAGAGGCTATTACCATCAGACACCTAAACACATTAACAGTTAATATTTATTTGTGCATAATTTGGTCAAAGTCAACATGAGATCCTACCAATAAGTTTTAACTGTGTGCTGCCTCTCTTTGGAACAACATGTGAATTGTTCTTTGCTTTTTTGATTCAGTATCACAGAACTTTAATTTAAGAAGTTAAAGAAGTAAAATACAGCTGCTCCTTTTTTTCATTGTGCTTCGTAGTCATTATATAAATATTATTCATTGTGGTCTTTCTTCACTATTGTAATTTTGAATGAATGAAAGTGGGGTTTGTATGTACTTTGTGTGATGTATTTTCATAAGGACTAATAACTGGAACTACCAGTGTAAGGGCTTAATGTCAAAACAGCTAAGTGTGAATAAAGTATTATAAAAGGATAAATGCAGGTAAAAGGGGGTTTCTGCATCTCCAGATAAGTAAAGCAATTCATTTTCCCCAGCACAAATCTTGTGCAGCCTCTATCCAGTGTTGTTATTTTCATTTAAAGGTTTCCTTTGTTAGGCTCTGTGCAGGCTGGTTCCCATTTCCATGGTGACCATGCTGAAATGCAGACAGGACACAGACTGGATTCTCATCGGCATAGCCATGCACTTGCATACCAACACATGTTATCTGCTTGGCTTAGGACATTTCCATTAGCAGTTTTAATGTTTAGAGCTTCTTTAGCGCTTTTAGATCACATAGTGATCTCTGGCCCTGTGATACTGCACAGT